AAAAAAAAAAAAAAAAAAAAAACAAAAAAAACAAAAATAAAAAAAAACAAATGTTTCCATTATTTGAATTTACTTTGATTTTGTTTTTAAAGTTACTTTTAAAAATAATATGACACATTGAAAATTGCGCAAAATAAAAGAAAAAAAAAAAAAAAACTGATTAACATTTTTTAACTTGTTAGTTTATAAACTTAAAAACTGATTATAACTTGTTTGTTTTATTTAAAAAAAAAAATAAAATAAAAAAAGGAAAAATCCTTTTGTTTTTGCTTTCGAGTGCTTTTCGATTTATGTTATTTGTTGTGAAAAATAATTTACTGAAAAAAAGAGTAGATTGCGTTTTAATTGCTTTAATAAATAATTAAAACTATTGAAGAGGTGGTTCGGCGTCGTCGAGAGATTCATCTACACTGCAAATCGTGATGAAAAATTAAATTAAAGAAATCATTAAAAAATAATTCAATAAATAAATGAATAAATAAAAATGAAATCAAATAAAGCGTGAAAAACTTTCTGTCAAAAATGTTCCAGAAATGCGGAACATTTCTTAGAAAGTAATTAAGGTTTTTACGACATTTTCCCAAATGCCATAAGTTAGTTATGGATGATATATTGTCGTCAATTTTAAATTCTATTTGATTAAATGCCTTTGACGAGGTGAAAAAGTCTAAGAACAATGTAAAAATTTGAACTCGGCGAAAATGGGGTTTTGTTGAGAAGATTACCAAACGCCAACTTTTGAACAAAGTGAATTTTTAGGTAGGTACAGTATCGTAAGACCAAATTAATCACTTATCCGTCCCTTCGATTTTCGAAAGAAAGTTCACGATGCGTAATACTATGAAGCTTCCTTCTGGTCGTCGTAAACGTTTTCACAAAATCAATATGCCCACCCACATTGCTGGTAGATATAAAGAAACAGGCGATATTTTGCGTCCTTATAATGGCGCCCAATTTACGGAGTCGCTTTCTTCTGATTAAGCCAAATTTTTCTTTGAACCTTTGCTTAACTTTGTTATCGGAACAACATCAAATTTATTTATTTTAAATAATTTTCACAATTACTTTATGGCCCTTAGTTTTTTAGAGAGATGAGAGCTAACATATCTTGGATTTCGATCCACAATTATATTGATTGTGTTTTTTAATATACAACGTCTACGTGGTCATCCTCCTTAACACGTTATTTTGAAAGTATAATTTCGATGCAACAGGGTACAAAATTATCGAATATTATAACACGATTTCGATAAGGCACCGTACGAATTAATCGTGTTAAGCGAAGGACATCTATAATAATAAATGTCGTACATAAATACAAATGATTCCGGTGACCTTGTGGTGCGTATATAATCACTGCACTTTACAAAAATCAGCTACAAGATGTACTTATGGATCTGACAATACTTAGAACGTTAAAGTGGTAATGGCCATCAATCGCGCTTACACCTCCTAGCTTGTGGCTGCTTTCTATCCCTCATAACTCTCGCATATCAAATAAAACGTCTTTTTTTTTTTTTTTTTTTGGAATATTCTCTTTCCGACGCAATTATTTTATAAATGGAAAATATAAAAGGACCAAAAAAGGTAGAGCGTCACGCAATAAACGCAGTGAACCTATTATGCGAGGGGTATGAAGACACATTCGTCAGCGAAACCGAGATATTAAACCAAGTACGATATCAAATGAGGAATTTGGTACCGGTGGCAAATATCGAAAGAATTCTTCACAAATGTCTGCTTGAACTGTCTGGCAGATGTATTATATATCGCATTGATGATAACAATTTCGGTATATGTATATAGTTCTAATCGGGATGAACGTTCTAACGACCATGATGCTATCGAGGGCAGTGAGAGTTGTAAAGATGATAGCGATACCGATTTGCAAAGATCGCTAGTCGCCCCGCGTATTAGCTTTACGGTATCATCCAATGAAGTCATCCCTAAGCAAGAAACGGGGCAATGATTGCTTTATTTTTCAAAATAACGGTAAAAACTTGCCGTTACCGATGCGAAGACGGAAGCCCGCAGCTACATCTTCAGGCTTGAAACGCCTTTTGTACCAACTTACTACTTATGCATGCTTTCAATGCAAAGACCACTGATCCGGAAAGATTAGCGTACATATAAAAATTTTAAATTATGGAGCATTAAAAGAAATATGACAACAAAAAAAAAAAAAAAGGAAAATTTCAAACTTTCAAATAAAAAGGCAATCAATTATGAAAAGAAAAGAGAAATAAATAAAAATAAAAAAGTCGATAAATAGAACGTAACGAAATTTGATTGGTCTGCAGTGATATATGGTACATTTTTCATTTTCATCAAACCGAAATGAGATCATCGAGTAAAGATAGTGTTAGTGAGAAGAAGTTATGTTTAGTGGGTGCAGCGACGAGGATAGCACTTTCTAGTTAGCGTTGCTAATGTGCCCGTCGGGTGAGTTTTGCCGTATGCTTCTTGACTTCTTGAATCTCCATTTCGCGAATTATATGAATATTAGCAGATTCGGTCCAAATCGAATATAAATTAATTTTTTTTATGTAGTATGTTTTATGGCCTTTTTTTTTTTTTTTTTTTTTTTTTTTTTTTTTTTTTTTTTTTTTTTGGCGGTGACTGCAAATGTAATTTGATGCGATAATTGACAAAAAGCTTATCTCTAATATACTTAAGAATTTTGCTATAACGTATGTATGTATATCATTATTGATTTCATTCACAGCTCATTATATAATAGCGTATACCTTAAGTCCTATATATAATATGTAAACACATGAGATATGCAGTGAGGCCACGCTTGAGAAAAAAAAAAATTTTTTTTCATTTATAAATAAATATTTTGAGTTTTCTTAAGGAGTAATGCAACCTTTTATTACATTCGATTGTGACCGAATCGTTCATACCCATGACCTTTACACTAAAAAGATAAAAAAACGAAAAAAACGAGCTAAACTGGACGCGGGTGATTTTCTCTATTTTTAAAATAAAAGTTCTTGTCGGATAGGCGAGTAGGCGTTTTACGCGTGCCCTTTGAAAAGCTTACGTCACTTACAAATTCTTTTGCAGATTTGTAGGATGTATCTTCAATTTCGCTAACGGGAGAATTTTTACCACAAATACCACACAGTTAGGCAGGCAGACAGACGGACAGCCGAACAGATGAATATGATTTGATAAAATCCGAATTTGAAACTGGCCAAGAATTTATATACTTTATGGGATTTTTGAAGCTTGACTCGGCCCGTTATAAAAGTATTGAAAAAAAAAAATTAAACTTTGGTATGCTATAGTATTCGATAGGAGCGGCCAATTTTTTTCATGTTTAGTACGGATGCCACAACATCATCCATAGAATATAAGTCCAAATTTCTGTACATTTATCTGCCATAGTTTATGAATAATGAGTAAAAATACTATTCGTTTCAAAAACAGAGGTGTCCACAGTATACGAGGCTTGTTGTAAGCGTGTCCTTGAACCGATTTGGCGTATTTTGAATACCAAGGTGCGTGCAAGAAGTTATAATTTTGCTGACAAATTTCAAGTCGATAGCTTCATTTTTGCCGCCAGGAGAACATTTATAACAAACATTACACAGAGGGACAGCCAGACGGATAGACGGCTCATGTTTAAATCGATTTAGAATTTGATAGTAATCAAGAATATATGTACTTTGTATATACACCTAATCCGTTGGTGATGGGTATAAAAACGCGAAATTAATTTTAAGGTAGCATTACTCTTTAATTGGGCTATTAATTAATAAATGGCCTACGACTGACAAAAAGCTTTATCGTATATATTCGTGATATGCTTTTATGGTTCTTTCTTTTTATAATATACGATTTGATATGATATTAATATATATGGATCGTTTATTTTAGACGAACTTATCTAATTATACTCGACATCCATCCAACTTATTTTATTTAGGCATATGTCTCCAATTGTCCGTCTGTCTGTTTAATTGCTATCCAGGTATTACTGTATTCATCCCGTATATAGCAGCTTTCGAGATATTGTCAGGAAATTTGATGTGTTGACATATTTTGGTTTAACGATAATTAATATTAGAAATGGATGGAATTAGACTCTCCATATAGGGAAATATGTAAAAAAAGGAAAATTTTGGTATATTGAATAAATGGCTGCGGCCACTTCATTACGCCTCTTCCTTTCTTCTCTTCTCTTCTTTCATTTCTTTTTTTTTCTAGCCATCACCAAATTACACGAATAAGAGACGTTTCCTGAGTGATTGGTAAAAAAAAAAAAAAAAAAAAAAAAAAAAATTGCTAAATGGTGGTTTGATAAAAATAATTCGTTGCGGTAAGTTGGGACTGGATAGTCGGCTTTTCTGATTGTTCCCCAACGCAACGATTCCTATGCAGGTTCATTCTTAAAATGCGGAAAAGGCATAATTTTTTGCATTTTAAGGACGAAGACAATTGAAAAATTGTATTAGACGGAGGGATGTGGGATAGTGATAAAAGTCGACCTTGCCCGAATCTATGTCGGATTAATTGCGTTTTATTTAATTGATTTAAAGTGACCTTCTGTCTCCTTCAAAGGGATTTGAACTTTGTTTTTGTAGTAAATAAAGTTTCTTTGTATTGATGATGTTGACAGGTCCCCCCAGCTTATCTTCTTCATATATAATTTTTTCTCATTCTCATGCTTATTCTCATTCTCATTTAATAAATTTGAATTTTTTAAAGTCCTATATTAAGGTGCCTAAAATGTTCCCCTGTTCAACTTGATTTGCTTTGTGGGTTTAACGTATATATAATATTAGGTGATATGAATGTCTTACAAGTAATAGTCAGACCTGCAACAGAGCGTTTTTACTATTTCTCTTAAATCTCTAAAGTATGTACATGAAAATATATCTTTGATATCGTTTTTTTTTTTTTTTTTTTTAAGAAAGAACACGGAAACCTTCGATACGAAAGGTAACCGAAAACATTGCTGTAATTAATTTAATTTATTTTGCCTTAATAGTTTACTACTTACGGATAACAATTATGCGTAATCGTGATTTTAAGATTTCAATTTGATTTTTGTACCTAAACCAAAATACCATTTATTTAAAAAATGCGACCATATCAATAATAAGCCGGACATTATTATAACCTGAAAGAAAAGAGAGCAACTCTCTTCTATATAGAAACAATGAACCCTGGAGAGATGACATGATTTTTGTAAATGATTTAAAGAAGTGAAAGCACTGCTATCGTAATGTGCAGGCATAGAAGGTCTGGGATATAGAATATGTACGGGCGGTGGCTGATCTAAAGCGTCGAATAGATTTGGATCGAAACGAAAAACATCATTGAAATCTAACTCATGATAAACTAAACTAGAAGGAATCCAATTACTGGAGGTCGCATGTTTGTAAAAGAGAAAAAGAATTTAAAAAAAAAAAAAAAAAAAAAAAAAAAAAAAATGAAAACAATTTCGCAAATTGTTAAATACTTACGCTGGACAAGTGTCTACATTAATACCGCTTATAGCCACTTTGCCTAATTCTATGGTACCGCTTTCTTCACCCTCAACCACATGTATGCAACCGGTGAAATTTTGCTTGTAACGGCCGCCAGTGAAATTATCTAAATCGGGTGCGCCACCTAAAACGATTCGAAATAAGTAAATAAACGTTCGACCTTCATATCTTCTTCCTGATCTCACCTATAAATACATGGCCAGGCAAGCTCATAGTATTTTTGCCAGTTGGCCTAGTTTCATCCGCATATAAGACATGGTCTAATTCTAATATAGCCGTGTTATCAGTACGTTTAACTAATACTATATGACGGTGTCCGTCGTCCACACGTTTATCGGGATTTCGGATGACGGCCTCTTCACCATTCAAACGGAACGCAAATTCAACAATGCCATCCACCAAAGCCAAAGCCATGAAATCTTGTCCAGTATACGTTTCACCTTTGGGTTGACCCCACCATAACAACAAGCCATCGGGATCACTAGTTGAGAAGACCATAGCAGCGAACGAGTATTTCTGATTGGTTTCATCGTTGAATTGTGAGCGATCCAGTTCCAAATAACCGTTACCGCGGAAATTCGCATCAAATTTCAACAGAATGACTGTAACGTTAACGGAATTCTTAAAACTTGGAAATCTGTAAAAATTGGCAGAAACTTACAGTCCTCACAATGTGCGCCAACAAATCCGATAGCGCAATCACAGGTAACTGTATCGTTAATTACATGACATGTACCGCCATTTTCGCAAGGGTCACTATCACAACCTTCGTCTGGGATTATCATTTTGTGTACTGCCACGTCTACGCGATCGTGCTTATCATGTGTCGTCTCTGTTTGAAAGGTTTCGTTCTGATCGATTTCATTAATCTCCCCACAATTTTGTATATTGGCAGCTTCTCGTATATCGGCAATCAAGTTCAATTGTCGTTGAGCTTCATATAACTGAATCAAGGGATAATCTATGCAAGACCATATCATTTTTAAAAATTCGAGTATCCACTTACATTCGATATGCAACCATCGAAACCTTGAGTTACATTAACATCGTAATTCAAGGTAATCTTTTCGTTATCGTAGCCTCCTATGTACAGCGGCGTGCGTATATATAGCGTGCGAGCAGCTCCAGTCGCCTTGGCCTTTTGTTCAGGTTCACTACCTACACGAAGTATACCTTCGCCAAAACGACGCGCTATTTCTATTTCAGTCCATTGATTAAGAGGCAGTGGATTTGTGGAACGTACAACTACTGGCTTGAGACGGGCTCCCGTGTTAATAATCAGCTCAACATGTTTGTTGCGCAACACAACGGCAACGTAATCACCGCTAGGCATTTCTGATTCGGCCGTATACAATAGAACCGCGTCGTCTAAACTATTTGGTCTAACTCGGAATTTAATATTTAGCTTAGAAGCCCGAGGAACACTAAAACAATAATACATTACTTTGTTTTCTTTCCAAAAAAAACTTTTTCACTTCACTTACCCATAGGCAGCAAAACTATTTTTCTTAAAAGCTAAACTATTCTCGTTTAAATGTTCTATGTACTGACAACGATCTCCTGTTCGATTTAGCGGGCACAAGCATTCCAAACCGGTTTCGGTATTTTCACAACGTCCTGCTCCACAGATGCCAGGTGTGCATTGTGTACCTTCCACGCCACAATTCCGTCCTGTCCAACCGGGCTGGCAAATGCATGAGTAAGCCATTTCGCTTTGGCTTTCCATACAAATGCCATCATTGGAGCAAGGATTTGTCGTACATGGTTGGCAGCCATTGATACCCTCTTTCACTTTTGCCTCTTTCATCAGTTCAATAATACTACCTTGTAGAGTCAAACGGCTAATACAGCCTACAAAGCCCACTTTATGATCGACCGCTTCATCAGGCAGCATATCCCAACTAGGCACACCGCCGATATATAAATCTTCTATCAAATCTAATGAAGAGGACGGTGATAGTGTGGGAAATCCTACCGGATGTTGATCGTCGACATGCATAATACCATCGCGACGGAAACGATTAACCCGCACAGTATGCCATTTATTTAATGTAATGGGATGTTCAGCTTGTACAATCATCGGTTTACCATCGAAATCGAAACGGAATTCTGGATAACGGTTCTTGAGCGATAGTGATATATAATCGCCGTTGCCGCGTTTTTGACCATTAAATAATAATAAACCGTTTGGTAATTCTGGACGGAATGTAATGTCAAAGTTAAACCTTATAAATGAATCGCGTAATGTCGGGAAAGACATATAACTTAGAGGATTCTGATCGAATTGAGGTACAGCTCCAGTTACTACCAAAATCGTAGGATAATCGACAGATTCGCCATTCGTATCAGTGACAGTGCATACGTAAGTGCCAGCATCATTGGCCTGGACGTCGTGTAGGACCAACTTATCCTAAAGCAAACATAATAAATAATTGAATTTTTACTAACAGATGCGAAGGGAGGCGAAGTCCTATAATGTTAAAAAAGCTTATGTTAAAGCATTACATTCTCATCTATTGAGAGGACCAAAGTAATGACGATAATAAAATTTTAATCTCCATTGTACGCTTCAATATAGGCAAAGTCAAGTTTCGTTGTGCTAAGCTTCGAGTTATGTGGCATTCGAAAAGTAATCCAATGCAGGCCTTCTGCGAAAGTAAATCATTAGTTATTTCATAATTTAAAATAGACCGAATTAATTGATTAAGCGACTTTTCCAGAAGCAGGGTATTTCTTTCATCGGATGATAGACTGTTTGGTGGAAAACTTGAATCTGTATATGTACAACATTGTTTTGCCTTAACAATTGCAGTCAAAGATCGATGAACTGGCGATCTAGACCCAAGCGAAAAAATTTGAAACGAATTATTAAAAACGAAATGAAACTAGAGCCGCGAATATCTTGAAAGCCTATACGTTTTTCCTCGGTCCGCTGTCTTATATAAACATGTACTACATATATAAACGATCTCAGTCAGATTTTAATTGCGTGAGCATCTGTAGCAAAACTTTTCCAAGTTTTTGTATTTAAAAAGCAACTTACACTTAAAATATCGGTACCCAGTTGCATTTGTCCATATTGCCTTGACCATCTATAGCTGGGTGAAGCTTGACTATTATCCGCATCGCATTTTAATTTCGCCATAGAGCCAACCTTGGCATATTCAATTTTCGGATGCTTCCATTCATGCATAATCTCCTCAATTTCCAATTCATAGGTGGTTGTATATAAATCGCCTTCATCGGTTTTGCATTTGCAGACATAAGTTCCCGCATCGACAGATGTGACATGAGATATAACCAAACGGTTGCCAATTTGCTTTGAAAGAGGAAAAGATAATGAGCGTGGTGATACTTTCGGATAAGTTAATCTTACTTACTTGTATATGAGGCGGTAAAGGTGTACCATCGGCTCTCTCCCACATAACATCACTGTACGTATCATCGGATGAATAGCATTCTACTTCGGTAGATTCACCTACACGTAACTTGGAGTGCTGTTGATCCAGTTTTAAACTCAAGTCGCGGGGCAGAGCGGTTGAGCTCGCATGCAGAGCTGGCGGATAGAAGTGTTGAGGTCTAGCCCCCACTTTCAGTGCCAAGATAAGTGAAAGATGCGCGATACAAGGATGATTACCAGAACGTTTGTGTTATTTATTCATTTATTTATTTATGTTTTTATTGTTTAACACAAAACCAATAACAATGTGCGGTAAGTTGATTGTTACACCAGTATGACAATTTTGGACACACACACATATACACATACATATATATATATATATATATATAGAGATATATTTTTATAGCGGATGTATAGAGTGTTAGATTATGTTGTATTGTATGTAGAAAAAAGTTTTTTTAATAACGATTTATTTGATTTTGTTGTTTTATTATTATTATTATTATTTTTTTTTTTTTTGGCGATTTTTAACATTTGTCGATAAATGATGAGTATAAAAGTTGTAGTAGTAGTAGTAGTAATAGTAGTAGTAGTAGTAGTAGCAGTCAGTCAGCAACAATCACAGACATTTTATTTAGCACATAGGCGATGTTTGAGCGAGAGCGAGAGCAAGAGTGACAGACAGAGAGATACAGTTTTGTGATGATATTGTTTTTGTGGTGATTATAATAATAAATATATAATTTTTTTTTGGTGGGTGTGCACAGTTTAATTGACGTTTTTGATGTGGTTTGTGGAGAGAAATAGAAGATACATAAAAATAATATGTTAGCATATATTGTATACATTTTATTGAAAAATCTATTATACGAAATTTAGAAGAGAAAAAAAAAAAACATTTCTTTTTCTCGAATTGTTTAGCTAATACAAAGAAAAAGAAAACACACAAAAACGTTTTATCTACGAAAAAAAAAAAAAAAAACAAAAAAAAACAATAAATTTGTACCAACTAATAACTAATTAAATGGATAATCAGAACTAGTTACCAACAAATTATGCAAATAAACATAATATCAGAACATTTATGCAAAACTACACCCGGATCTTTAACAAATTGACTTTTTCTAATTCAAGGAATATACGGAGTTAATTCATCAAAAATTTTAGGTTATGTTCAATTATTTACAAAATTTTGGTTGGGATTTTTTTTCTTTTTGCAAATTTTTTAGGTTAATTAATATGTTAATCTACCAAAAAAAAAAAAAAAAAAAAAAAAAAAAAAACAAATATATATATATATATATAGAAAGACTACCGTTTAATTACATGCACTTCGTGATGAATGAAATACAAAAGCGTGATTATGCGTGAGAGGAAATGTGACAGAGTGAATATGATTTTAATATATATGTATTGCAAAGAGAGGGTGATCTGTTGATTAATCCTTTTTGATGAGAACAAAAAGTACTTACACTTATTACTTTTTTTTCTCAATGAGAGTAAATGGAATTTAAAAAAAAAAAAAAAAAAAATAACAAAAATAATAAGAACTTGTAAACGAAATTACACACACAATTAGATTTAAGTGTAAAAACCTTTTCTTAATAAGTGACTCAAAATGGTTAACACTTGTTGAGGAGTCAAATGTTTCTGTTTTGAAAAAATCTCTTTTTTCTATATGAATTACTTCCCGTTATCACTAACTGAAGAACTCCAAGATCTTAGTATTAACTGATTTTCAGGTATTGTCTAGAAAGCATGCGCTTGTAGACACCATGTAAATCATTATTAAAAGGCGTACAATCTTTATTCACTTCGAAAGGGAGTGCTGGCGAATTTTGACGGAAGATGACCTCTAAGATAACTGAAACGGTAGTAACTTTGATGTTGACTAAAAGAGGCGTTAACATTGACAATAAAACTGAACATCCACAGTGACTCAATCCGGAGATCAACTAATTTTATATGTTATGAAAGACCAAATGAAGCCAGCCACACATGTCTAAAGTGCTACTAGCCTTGTCCTATTCGTCAATCGTAAGTTCTTCTGATCAATATTGATCTTAATTAATGTGTGTTTTTTGTTCAAACGAAACTCGCCTTATGGATAGTCTCATAAGGTCATTCGGACTTTCCACAGGGAATTCATTTTCAGCCTAGAAGATGGGAAAAGTTGTGTCTAGCGACGAATAATCTTTTGAATAACGGACTGAGTGTCATTTTATAAAAAAAACGTTCCGGTTTACCAAAAATCGACTGAGACTTGGTCAAACATCTAATAAATGCTGTTTATCTAGAAAATTCAGACAGTTATGACAGTTGATCGTTCTTCAAAAGTAGAAATTGAAAAATTTTTACATATGCTTTGCTTTCGCTTAATGGCACTTATTTTTGAGAAATACCATGACAATGTTTCGAACTTGAAGTGTTATTCTGGTGAAGAATTCATTTCATTAATGGATGTACTCAATGAGCCATCATTTCGGTGACTTTATTTTAACTCTGGAAAGTGTAGTAAAAAGAAATCCAAAAATTTGCAGCCAGCCACTCTTTCTGTAAAGAATTTAGCCTATATTGGCCGTCATCTTTTAATCCTTAAATGGATATTGTTGCCAATTAGCTATACTCAAGTTCCATTTAATTTTAAAATTAATTACGATATATGGTAAAATTTTAAAATTAATTTTTTTTATAGCTAGAATGTAGACAATTGGCAACAATATGCATATAATGGACAGTAAATTGAATGAAAATTTTTGCGCTTACATTATAACCAAATTGAATCACTCTCTTGTTTAAATACAATTTTCATTTTTATATATATTACTGGTGTGATTTGGTGTAATCTCTAATCTAGTAGTGTTTTCAAAAATGCGTTCGGAGTTGCATTCTCTGTGTTGTTGTGGGACCAAAATGCAATGTGCCACATGTGATAGTTCGACATAGATGAGAGAGCATTTTACAAATTGATTCGTTGCTCTTTGGATTGCCAAAAACTACAATTGCATTACCTCTGTACCAACAACAAGGATATCTTAACTTAGTGAGCCTTCAAACTAAATGCATAAAAAATAAACAAAATGTGTAAAAAATGTGTGGCTTTTCAATATTGCGATTTTTTTTTTTTTTGTTTTTTGCCAAGTGAACAACAAAGTAAATGAAAAACCAAACAAACATACAGAAGAAGTACAGAAAAGAAAGTGAATGAAAACTTAAAACAAACCGATTTTTTTCTTCATTAAACTTTGAGCCTTTTTGGCCGAAGAATATTTTTTATAAGCCGGCGAGCTTTTCAGCAAGCGCTGTTTACGTCTTTTATTATGGCGACTGGGCGCAGACACCGTAGACTGTGTTGTTGCTAGGGACGACTGTGATGTTGCTAGAGGTTTGGGTCTTGATTGATAGCTTGAATGCTTTTTCCAACGTTTTAGGCCGTTATTATTACCATTGTTTAGCGGACGCGTGCAATTGAATTCATCTGAATGATCGGTACAATCATGTATGCCATCGCAAACCATTGATTTAGTTATACAGGTGTGAGGGTGAGAGATACACCGGAAATCACTAGGTTGACAAGCATATGAACGATTGCTGCTGTTATTAGCTGTCAGAGACGTGGCCGTGGTGAGCGGTTTAGCTTTTATGGGTTTCAGTGGCTTAACATCTTTTGTGTGTTTTTAGTGAATTTGGTTTTTTGAGAATAATATTTTGAAAAAAATATTTATAAATAATTCAAAATGTTTTTGTATTTTTTTTTTTTTTAGTTTTTGTTTTTGTTTTTGTTTTTTTTTTTTTTTGTTTTTGTAAGGATGAACAGTGTAGAAAAAAAATTCACGAAAATAAAAGAGTAAAGAAGATGTATTAGAAAATTTGCGGACGTTTGTTTTTATTTATGTTGTTAGATAAAAAACAAGAGAAAAGAAGAATATACGACCTAAGCCGAATTTTAGATAATCATCGTCCACTTTATAATTGAATTGGGAGAAGGGAGAGATTTAATCTTCTCCCTGACTTAAAATTGATAGGTTTTTCTGAAATTCGTTCAAAAACGATAGTCGGTAATGTTGGTCGACTTTTACCGAGAAGACTAATCATCTATACGTAATACATAATCTAAATCGATTTCGGCTAATATATGCAGATCCAGATTTGTTAGTTCACTTAAAATTTTCTTAAACCAGCTTCAACAGACGGACAAATGTGTATTGAATTGAAAAGCCTTCAGTCTCTGCAAGACTTGAGCCCGGTGTAATCATTTACTATACACGAATCTCTTTCCGTATTAAAATTGTCATAAAATATATCGATACCGTGGACGGACGGACCGAATTAGAATGTCTTCAGTATTGGTAAGTTTAACGGATATTGCTATGGTGGAGGATATCATATATAAAAAAATGCCTTAGAAAATACTTTATAATTAAATTCAAATACCTTTTAAATAAGAGGAGGGGGAAGGTCAGGGAGGAATAAAACAAATTTATTAATTTAGGCTTTAATTCATTGCTCAACACTAAAGACACAAGGTTATTAAAAGTCTGTTAAATAAAGCTTTCTTAAAAGCACAAAGGATAAGAGAGGGAGATGATTATTAATAATACTGTTTAAAACCAGGGTTGATTTTAATTCAATTTGGGTTACAACAGAGGCTAAGATCATAATCAATGACACATATAAGACGGATAAACAGACACTTAATTTTGTTTTGTTTTAATAACACACACAATACATACATATATATATATATATAGAAGTATATATATACATATATAAATAAAATCTATATATATGCATAAGTGCATATATATACATACATATACATACATATACACATATATATATATGCATTACATATTAACTATATATCATATATATACATAAAGTAAACATAAATCGTTTGAAATGAAAAAATTTTTATGGATAATTTTCAACATAACTAAAAAGTTAAATTCTACGCGTGTATATAGCTAAAAAAAAAAAAAAAAATTGAATATGTATATTTATATGAATAACTTTTCTTTTTAAATGCAATAATAATACTTGAAAAAATAATGTATAAAAATTTAGCTAATTAAAAAAATATTAAAAAAATACTTAAAATTTTAATTTTTTTTTTTTTTTTTTTTTTGTACAAATATTTAATAAAATATTTTAACACACCTGTACAGATATAGAAAACCATGCAAGGTATCTCAGATTGGCTGTAACCTCCTTTAAATTTTTTTTCGTTTGTATTTCAATTGTTTTGATTCGTATATAAAAAAATGATTAAAAGAAATATTTTCATAACATCATCATTTAGTGTATAGGACAAGCAGTGTGTTGAGGAGTAAAAGAAAACAAAATTTTTTTTTTTTATATTATAATATAATTAAAGTTAAGAAAATATATTCATAATGGTGAAGTGTAGCGGTAGTAGGGGTGGATGAAAGAAAAGGGAGAAAAAAAGAAGAAAAGAAAATCAAGAGAAAATAAAAATGTTGTAAATTTTATTTTTTCATGTCTAATTTGGAATTTTTTTTTTTTTTTTGTTTGTTCACTTCTTTCAATATTCAAAATAATTTGTAATTTAATTTATTCGTTTTTTTTTTTTTTTGTTTTTTTTTTTTACTATGGAAAACTGATTTTTACTTATTATAACGATAATTTCTTTACACAAAACACAAACTTTTTAATTGTTTTTTGCATTTTTTTTTGTTTTTCTTCAAATCAAATTTACATAATAACATTTAAATTATTTTATTTACACTGTATGTGATTTTGCTGATGCTAGAAAAGATTTAAAATTTTCTAAAACAAAAGAAATTTCAAAGAAAAGTTTTCAAGTTCTTTCCGGATTAGCGAAATCGTAAATCCGTCATATAGGATAATATTTGCTGTGCGCATATTGAACGCATGGATACTGAGATCAATCAAAACGATCGGTATTAATGACATTTACTTGCAGTTGAATAAATTGAGATGATAGAATGGAAATTGCTATAATGCTATAAATGTTTATGTCAGCCCACTAGGATCGTACTATCATAAAATGAAGTTCCACTACATTTATCCTTTCGTGTTTAGCCTTCGGAAATACGCGCACATAAAGCACATATATAGCCATAATACATATATATTCACGATTTGATTTTTTCATTTCCGTCCGTTTGTGTGTCTATTTCTTAGTCATAAAAATTAAGGCAGATTATCGAAACCAATAAACTTTGGTAATAGGTGTGATCTTTCTAAGTCTACATCCACAATATAGACACAAAAAAAAAAAATCAAAAATACATTATATAAGATCAGTGTGATTTACATCGTCTAACTGACACGTCCTCAATGTTAACAAAGTAATTTACAATTTTTATGTGTCATCTAGACATGTTCGATGTCATGTATTTGTCTTAAAATGGTGATATTGACATTCGATAAGAATAAAGTAAAAGGTGTCAGCTCCATTCAGGTGCAACGAAGATACCATGTACGAAAAGGTTAGTTGAGATTCATATTTTCTGAGATTTTTCAAAAAAAAGGTCGTTTGAAATTCAAAACGGATTTCAAATCTCACGCTAAAAGCATAAGAGTTTCAAGTAGAGATATTCTCATTGAAATTGATCCCTAGAATGATTGCATAGCATGCTGCGTTACAAACTTATCGTATAGACGATAATCACGAGTCTTGGTATCATCGCAGTAACGTACGCTGTACCTTCTAACACATATAATGTCCTTTACATTTCTATGTACTTATAATAAATTCGTAGAATCTGAAAAAGAAAGCGTAATGGGAGTATTTTGGGAGGATTTCATTAATTTTGACTCGGACATATTGCGATGGCAAAAGCAATTAAAGCAAATATAATAGATAGCGTGAACTAAAATGAAGATAACATATTCCCCCTTATTAAAGGAAGAACATTTCGCTTAATAAGCATATTCATATAAAGACTTACGCCTTACATTGGAAGTGGTCAAAAAAGTGATCCGATCCGAATCGTTTTCAATAGCATTCGTACTTGAGCCAAAGTATGTTGGTGTACCAAACTTCAACAAAATTTCTTGAGAAGTACTCATCCTGCTATTAAGCATGGTAGGAAGAGACGGACTGGCTAGCAAACAGACTGGCGGATAGATAAGCTTAGATCGATTCAAAAGGCGAGTCTGATTTGATCTGTTTAATAAAAGATTGGCCTACATGAAGTCATTCTGGGTGCTGCATACATTCACGCAAACTTAATGTCCCGTTTGCATCACTCACTGTGTTAGATATAGCAAGTAAGTAAGAAAATTATATTCGGTCGTGACCATCACTGCTGTCCCAAAAAAAAAAAAAAAAGAAAAAAACGGAGAAAAAAAGGAAAATAAGTAAATTTTTGTACTTTTTAACATTGGATGGGTGTGATTGATTTTTTCTATTTTCAAAATAAAAGTCGAAATTTATACCCTGTGTGTCATGTACGTGATGAGTAACAAGGAGAAAATACGGAAAGCGAAGGTGTTCGCCATTTTGTGGACGTAGCTTTCGTTTTGTCAACGTTAGACTGTTAACCACAGATATAACACAGTAGCGCGGATGGATAGATGGACAGATGAACGGGCGGACGTGCTTATGTGCATTCCGAATTTGAAACCCGTCAAAAATTTATACACTTTATGGGTGCGTTATAAAAGTATTGAAAAAAAATAGATTTTATTGCACTAGAATATTGGGTAGGCGTGGTCAGTTTTTCTCATTGTTGTAGACGTACCACAGCATCGTCCATGGCATATGCGTTCAAATTTTCGTGATTTTACCTGCTATGGTGTATGAGTAGTGAGGGAAAAACCAATTATTATTTCTTCTCAGTCTATGTAATAATGTAAGCGCGTCCTTCGACTGATTTTGCTCATTTACGATATCAACCTGTTGGCAAGAACTTCTAAGGTTTCTGCCAAATTTGAAGTCGATGGTTTTATATTTGCGGTCGGTATATAGGATGCGATGATGGAGTTTCTGAAACTTCCTTCTAGGCGTGGCAAAGTGAATATAATCGTCACCCTTCGGTGATAAACCGTTAGCTCAGCTATTTTTGGATAAAGACGAATGAAGATTTCATTGATTGATTTGTATTCTTCAGAACAGAGTTAAAACGTAAACGTCGTGCGATAATTCTATGCAATAAAATATGAGTTTCTATTTGATTTATTCAATAAGTGCACGACTGTATTGAGAGTAACTTGAAAACTTTTCAAAATAAATGTATTTTTGTTGGGAAATGAGAACATACAACTACATACATATATACATAAAATACATATATCTATATTTAATATATTGTTTTTTTTTTATTATTATTATTTACGAATGTGAATGTATCTAAAAACAAAAGAACATATACACATATATATATATATATATATATATATATATATTCATGGACAATATATTATGGCACAGAGAACATAATTAAAAAACAAAATGAAACTTATGGAACGCGATAAAGTTGAGAGATGTTTGACTTTCAAAAAACCAATCCCTTAGACCAACGTTGCTCAGATGTGAGAATGTTGTTACAAGTCCATTCCGCTGCTTTTCAAAACCAAATTTTCGAAATTCTGTTTTTTTCTTTTCATAACAATTCTGAAAGATGTTACAAATTCAATTTGTAAAGAATTCAAGTTCTTTCGATTCCAATTCAATAATTTTCTTCAAGATCCTAAGCTTTGCGAAAAGCCTAAATTAATGCACAATCTATTTTGCTCATCTACTTTCCCTTTGCAAGTAAGTGAACGCAGAAGAGATAAAGCAAATAAAGAGAACATGGATTATATTATTAAACTTATCATTAAACGGACAAGAGACAATTCCCTGATAAAATCCCAAATATTATGGTTGCAACATAAAAATTGGAGTTCATTTTCTAGGCGTATTTCCTTTTAAGGGGATTACGAGAATACAAATTAAGTTTAAATTCCGTTAAATTTCATAATATTAGGTTTGAATTTGAAAACTAAAGCAAATAGATAGATAGAAGAGAATAGTCGGACAATCATAGGCATCGGGAGGCGATGATTGAAACTGTCTAGCTGTACGGTTAAGCAGCGGCCTATTCTGATAAAGGAGTATTGAAAGAAGTAATGAATAAAATAAAGAACAACTTAAGAATATGAAGTAAGTGAAATTTAAGTTAGGTTAAGTAAATTTGAGAAGAGAGCAAAAGACGTGCATCAATTCAAAAAGTAGAAAGCGATAAAGTAGAGAATGAGGCAAGAAAGAAAAAATATTTTGAAAATTAATACAAAGAAGAAAAACATAAACAGAGAAAAGACAAATCGAAGATGGGAAAGTAAACAGGAAAGCGGAAGAAGCAGGTAAATGTGTAAGAAAGAAGTGAAGGGCGATAAAATGAAAAGAGACGCATTAATGGCCGACAATATCTTCAGCGATAAGTTTTTAAGTTCGCCCTTGTACGAATTATTCAAATTGTACCTAACCGAATGACGGGATATATTGGATGTTGAGATATGCCCATATATAGATGTACATAAAATATTCCTGATTAGATTTGAGCTTGTCCACTCCTCCGTTTTTGTTTGATTTTCCTCTTTTGTTGGATTGCGGAAAGTCAAACCTTACTCTCACTCTTTAATCACACGGATTTGGAGGCAACACAGATAGCCCATTAGACATATGAAATTGCAAATATACTTTCTCAGGCTTACTAAAAGATTAGCGTAAAGTTGTTGCAATCTAAATAAGATATTTTGTAGTTATAGTGGATTGCTTCGAGGTAAAGGTATATAAGATTTTCATTTCTCTTAACAGTGATGAAATATTGTTTCGACATTGTTTAACCTTTACCATCTGGAGAGATATTCAACGCTCAATTTTCATATAGGAATACGATGAGATGGATTGTAGATGAATTTTGTTATATTTTTAATAATTAATAAAGCCTTGTCCATGTCCTTAAATCACACTTTTTGTTATCCCAGGGGTGTGGCGAAAACCAAATACTTGATCTTAAGAGATTTTAATTTGAACGGGTACACTTTGTGAAATATTCGACAAGTAGTCGTGTAAGAGGAAGCGACGAAATTAGTAAATTTTTAAGTTTAAAGACGTGGTGAAGTAATATGTATAGAAAAGAATTCATGCAAAGAGAGGAAGGAATAAAACAGGAAAGAAAAGTTAAGAAGAGAAGCAAAGAGAAGAAGATAGTTAAAAAGAAAGGAAAGAAAATAAAGCAGGTTGTCTGTATGAAATCGAGGGATAGAGAAAAGTTTATTAAATAGAAAGAAAAAATGGGTAAGAAAAAGTAAGAAAACTAAAGAGAGCTAAGTAAATAAAAAATGGTAAACAATAAAAGGTAAATACTAACAATTAAATAAATTAAAAAAAAAAAAATATTATGTTTTTTTTTTCAAATAAAAAGGGATCCGCAACCAAAATTTTGTTATGAAATGTTTCTAAACATGATAAAGTTCTATGTTCCGTTCGATTTCTAACCTAAAGAAAACCGCAACCTTTTTAACAAATGAGAAATCAAATCAATAAATAAAATAAAAAATTTTTTAATCATTTTTGTTTTTTCGGTTATCTGGTTAATATTATTATTTTTTATCATTATTTTTCTTTTTAATATTTATTTAAACAAAATGAAGATTTTAATTGATTTTCGTTTTAAATTAGGCTTAAGTGTTAAGAAAATTTAATGGCAGCTAAGAATTGTTTGTAAAAATGTTGCTGTTAAAAAATTAATTAAAATTGTTAACATTATAAAAAATAAAAAAAAAAAAATTGAAAAAAAAAGAATATTGACAAAAACAAGTTGTGGTTAAAAAACACTTAAAAAAATTATATGTTTTGTTGGGTTTTAATAAATTGTAAACACGGCAGGCATGCAATTACAAAATTAATATGATTCGAATAACCTCCACCGGGTTCTTGTATTGGAAATTTCGAAATTTACAGAGAAATATTTAGAAAAAAAAAAAAAAATATATGAACGGAATTTTTTTTTTTGTTTTTTTTTTTTTTTGGTTAATTTACACTGTTTGCCTAAATGTTAAACTATTTACATATAAAACAAGAGGAAAAAAAATGGTTAAAAAATAAGTAAAATCAGTGGTGGTTTTTCAATGCATTTTCGATTTACGTTTTTCCTGGACATGCCCAATTTTCAGTTGTTTCTTTGCATTTACGACATACTCATTTTAGGCTAATTTTTTTAATTTTTTTCTGTTTTCTCAATAAATTTTTAAAATAATTATATATATATATATTTTTTTTTTTTTGCTTTTTATTTATAACGTCTATCATAATATTGGTTGGGTCTTTGTGATCTGGCACTTTGTTCATGATACTCACGCGAAATTCTCAATTCGGCATATGACGGTTGGGATACATCGCCACCGGTTGTAAAGGATTCGCATATATAGCGGCCTTCATCTTCTTTTCGCACCTGATATAAAAGAAGCTCATTGCCACGCTTCTGGGCAGTTTGAGGCAGTGGTAAGTTATCTTCACGACGCCAATTGTACTGAGAAAATCATAGTAAATAAGAAAGGAGGAGTCATTCAGAAATTGATTATAAACTAAGAATTTTGGAATCACATCCATTAAAACCTTCGTATCGCTTAAAATGCAAAAGATCAAAAGATATAAAAGATCCCTTAGAATATGCACACTGAATAGCCTACTGCTGTATACTTCAGCAAGTGAGGAATACGCATTGAAGATAATGTTTTTATCTAGAAGTGTTGAAGGCTCGTTTGCTTTTCTTCAAATAAATAGTATTTAATCTATTTCTTTTTCAAGTTTTTGTTTGTCAAACTCTTCTCACAAGTTCTACATACTAGACCCAGTAGAGCAAAAATTTATGTAAATTTGTTATGAATTTGTTTTTATAAGGTGAATAAAGGTGAGCGTCTTTCGAAGAAAATTGAATTAGGTTGTGTGCTTAATGGTGTTTCCGTCGCAATAGTGAATAGTGCTGTTTTATATGGAAATATAGACTACGCTACATATCCTCAATAATTTAAAAGAATGAAATATGGGCTATTCATAACCTGAAGAGGAACGATCATAATGCCTAAGGCAATTTTAATGCATTGGCCTGCGACCATATGTTTTCCTAAATGACTTTTTTGTAGCAATAATTCTCAGCAAGGGGGCTCACCTTTAAATTAACGGAGTCTTTGCATATAATCAAGCTCAAGTTGCTCGCATTAGAAGCTTAATGCAGACGACAATTAATTGTTTAGTGCTCAATTCATGTTGATCTCTGCAATGGCATTTACTTTCTTTAACCAAAGATTTCAGTACTGAGGAATGCTTGTTTTAAGCAAAATGCAACAACCAGATGCTACCCAAAATATTGCCTTAACACAACGCTTTAGTTCTGCCTACGGTTTACGGACGGTGAATATAATCGAATTATTGAAAATATTTATCTATTATAGGAGGTATAGAGCTTTCCGCTTTTCTGAACCAATATACTTGCATGTATTTGTAACATTCTCTTTATGTCTATATTCTACCGACAGAGAAACGTACATCGGCCGACCTGAATTTTTTTTAACAAGAAATTTAAGTCCCCTCATCGGTATGTTTATTTTGATTAACGTTGGCAAATGAGGGAATAATTCAAATAATTTAGATTGGCGAAGAATTGGGACTTAAATGCCATGATCTTCCTGCTAAAAGGTTCTATATTTGTGAGAGTTATTTAAAATTTTTATTTGAATGGTAAGTTCATTGACGTGCCTAATATTAACAAAATATCCTTGCGATATTGGTACATGTGCATTTACGTGGATTCGTCTGAAGGCGATTATAACCGTTGCATTTATTTGGTTTTCAAACTTACCATCACTTCACCTCGTATTGGCGTGTGACTGGGTTGAGCATCACAGGTCATGCTCACTGTATCGCCTTCATTCAATTCATAAAAACGACTAGATGGTCGCGGTTCATATGTATGACCACGATTAACTACAACTTGAGCCTTTTCGGTAGTGTTGCCGTAACGATTCGAAGCGGAACAGTAATACAATCCTGCGTCAGCGGGAGTTATTGAAATGAAACGCAAATGTTGACCCTCTATATGGACAGATCTGTAAGGAAATTTGGTGTCAGAAATTTACTCACGCTTGCAATTTTCGTCCAGCACTTACGACGGGAGAGGGCGATTGTTTTCGGCATGCCAAGATACATGAATAGGCTCTTCACCTTCCACCTCGCAATAAATATCAACATTTTCATTGGCAGTCACGTAAATAGGCATTCGAGGATGTAATGTAATGTGTGGTATGGGTACCAACACTAATTCTGCTATATGGAAAGTGATAACTGAACCGTGGTTATCATATGCATTACAAAGATATTTGCCGGCGTTTTGGTCGGTAACACGCGTTATTATTAAAGTATTTTGATCATTATAGGAATTCGCTGGTAAGGGACTACCATCCAAACGTGTCCAACGTACTTGTACAGGCGGCCCATAAGACGCTAAGATTGAAATTTATTTTAAGAGTTTCACCTGCATATTAATTTTGTTAAATTTCGACCTTACTTAGATTACAAGTTAATTGAACATCCTCCCCAGATTTTGTGCGATAGATATTTTCCGGTAGCGACGTTGGTGTGTGATAAGGAGATTGCGGTGGATAAGCAGGTGGTGTTGGATAAGAGGGTGGATAATGCGTCGGTTGTCGATGAGGTGGCTGTGGATGCGGCTGATAAGACGGTTGGGGTTGATGAGGTGGGTAATACACATCGCTGTCATCTGTACGTAAGGAAGGATAATATTTTTTAATATATGGACTAAGTAGAAATCTCATGATTTCTTACCAGTAGCGTCTCCCCGTCTTGGTTTAACGTCCAACATTACATAGCGTTCGTCGTCACCACCCTCGTTGGTAGCCACACATTTATAGGTTTTAGCTTGCTGTGGTGTAACGCGATAGAATTCCAAGTAGGCTTGATTATGATGCTCTGATATTGATGTGCCAAGCTTGGGATGTGCATCGAATTCTATCCATTGGACATTGGGATTGGGGAAACCACTGGCTGTGCACAATACTTTAACTTCGTCGCCTTCGGTGACACTTAACACTTCCAAACTTGGCTCCAATTCAACTATTGGGGGGACAATGACACGTATGCTTGTAACGCTAGTAACTTTGCCAACCTCATTTTCTGCCACGCATTCATAATCGCCGGCATCCGTCAAAGTAATATCGTTCACACTGTAAACAGAAAAATCATAGTAAATAATGGGGAACGCTTTAAACGCCAAAGTCACTTAGCGTACATTATGTAACCGGGTTCGTTTTGTATTTGATGGCGAGACGAAAGTGGTTGACCATCCACGCGGCGCCATTGGACTATCGGTTCGGGTATACCGTTCGCTGTGCAATATAGCATAGCCTGACCGCCAGCAGTTATAGTTTGTGGTGCTTTCGGTTCTACATCGACGGTGGGATGTTCACGGGCTGCAATCAATGAAATGATGGTGGTTGTACATATTAGTAAAATAACTAGTATATGGTTGGGAACGTTCTTATTACCAACTCCTTTTTGAACTTTGAAAGCAATTTAAATTTATAGATGAGATTTAAAAAATACAAAATGAAAGGGAAAACAGTATTCCCGTGGAAGTAAGCATATTTAAAAAATAGAGAGTAAATTAACTTACAAAGTTTTTTTGATGACAATAATATAAGTTTACGTATATAAAGCAGTAAAAAAGTGGAGAAACTTACGTTCAATGTCAACAACGGTACTAGCTTGATCATGACCGGCGGAATTTTCAGCTATACATAAGTAAACGCCACGATTGTCAGGACGGGCGTTCATAATGCGTAAAACACTGCCAGTTTGCTGCACATTATCTCCCAATGACTCGTGAACTTTTGTCCATTTAATACTAGGATACGGAGTACCACTTGCCTCGCATGTTATACTAAAGTCGTGTCCTTGTATTATAAGATTCTCTTCAGGCAAACGCTTGACGCTGGGTGGTACCCTGTAACCACACCACAGCTATAAATTCTGAATTAATATGAAATGTAATAAAAATCTTACGTTCCGGGTAAGGGCGGCTCCACAGGTCCAATACTGCCGCCACCATTATATGGGGGTCGCGGTTCTTCAATAATTACTCGAGCATCCGATGTATAGTTACGGCGACCACGGTAATCAATACCAATGCAAGTGTAGACACCTGTATCACGTTGTGTGGATTCACGTATTTCCAGCGTGTTAGCGTTAATGATTAGATTGTGTGTACGATAAATTGGGTAGCCATCCTTGTTCCATTCATAGATTAGTACGACTGAGGTGGTGGGTTGACACGTTAAACGTACATAACTGCCTGGCTCTCCATTGAATGAAGGTGGTTCAATGTAGACTACTTCCCTGGGTGGTGTCGGGGGCGATGGACGTGTAGGTCTTACACGTAAGGTAGTGTACTTTTCTTCATAGCCTACGCCATTATTGGCTTGACAACGATAGCTGCCTTCATCTGATTTTCGTGGTGACTCGAATATCAATCGTGATTCCTCTGTGTGAGCTTCTCGGGACATTTGACCGTCGACCCGTGTCCAAATAACAGTGGGCATGGGATTGCCGCTAACTTCGCAATCAATTTGATTAGGTTGATATTCATCGAAAGTTACATACGGAGGAAGGTTCTCAATTTTGGCCGGGGTACGACGAGCGCTTTCTGTGAAGAGGAAGAGGGGAAATGTAATTAGAAAATGTGAAATAATTAAGGATTTGGTAATCGACGTTTGCTCTGCTTTGAGAAAGTCTTTACCGTATCTAGCCAACATTTCTTTGGCATATCCTTGTAATTTTAAAAACATATGTAGGCGGTAATAATGAGAGAAATTTTTACTTAACCAAATTCTGAGATAGAAATGTTACTGTATTAATTATACTTACCCGTAATCGTAATCGATACTTTGTCTTCGTAAATACGTTGGGTGTCGTTATTGCGTGCCTGACATATATAAACCCCGGAATCGTGTATTTGTAAGTCATATAAATGTAAGATTCCGTTATCTTGTTCCCAGTTATACGGCATCTGACCATTCAGTTTATACCATGAAACGATAACGGGACTCTGTTTAGAAATTAATAGATATTTCAAACTTTGGTTTTTAACTTCGCGTAACGGCAATTACTACTTACGCTGTTCCAAACTAAGCGACCGGTACACGTTAGCGTAATTGATCCACCCACGGGTATGATAGTAATTTCGGGTGGGGCTATCGATACGCTTATTTGGGTCCGATAATCATAATCTGGCGGTGTAGATGGACGTGAAGTTGGGCGTTCTGGTTCATAATCATCTAAATGAAAAATTAAAAATTTATTGAAACGCTTTGCCCCGCAAATCGTTGGAGCTACAATCTTCCAAATACATATATGTGTGACACACCAATTCTAGTATTAGTGACAATGAATATGATTTAGAGATGGAATAGGGGAACCAGAGAGAGTGTTAGTAAAGTTTTAACTACTTTTGCGTTACAAAAAATTGAAAATATTAAGACAAAGTGATTCACATTTGAAGTTTTACGAAATGCTTTACATAGCATTTATATTACGACGAGCTGTCAAGACAACGAACACAGAGCGGAAATTGCGCTAAGGCTGAATTTTTATTGTTCTTCTATATGTAAAAGTCGGAATCTTAGCTTTATCTAAATCCTATCTTTTGTTTAAACCTACATGCTTAAATTCTTTACATCGTTCAGCGATCATCGGATCTTAATGTTCAGCAGAATCGATTCACTTTAATAATATTTATTACGAGAGTGCGAATGCATTCTTTCGTCTACCTATGGTTGAAACATTCATTAAAATTTGAACAGACGAGGACAGTATGATTAGTGTTTAGATTAGAAAGCTGTAACGCCTTTTGAACACAAAATTCATGTACTGCAATTATATTAATTACATTAATTTATGTACTGTAAACTATTTATTAAACTAAGGATTCATTACTTTAATCCGCTTCGGCTGATACTTTGAGTAATGGAAATTAAACCAATTGGTTTACTAGCATGTCATTTTGTGGGAAGCATTTTGATTATTTAAATATCATGGTTGAAGAAAATTTCTGAACTATTTCAACAGACCCCTAATTCCAAACTTGAGAGCAACTTGTTGTTACATTTAAGTTGAATGTTCGCCAAAAAAACCTATAAATTTGGTCTGAATTTACCCCAAGGATTTTTTTCAATGTTTTAAAAATTATCGACATGAACTGCATTATATTTCTAAACTAATAGAAGTCATGGAACTCATAGAATATGAAAGGCAAGTTGTTCGGCAATAAAGAATGAGTTAGTTTTGCTTCTTTTTTATTACGTGATGAATGAAACAATTTATGTCTATAGTGCTGTTAAATGGGGCAAAACGGTCTTGAATTGTGAATAAATAAATAAGAGAGAATCTATGGTGATATGCGATCGAGATTTTTGGGGATTCGATTTTACGATCGAAGGCAGTTGATATGAGAAAGTTTCATTAAATTATCATTTTTACGAAATGCAATGTAAATATACGGTATTCAATTAGCATGTCGTATCACAATGCCGTACCAATAGATATATTTCAAATAAAACGAAATGCAAATTGTTTATAAAACGTATGCCGCTGTATTTTTTAATGGCAAGCGAAGCATGGGCTGGACTTTGTTGATTTAACGACGCTATAACACAAGTTATGAGATCTTTAGCGTAATTAACGGTATTTGCTAATTATGAGCTTAGTCTCACGTGAGCCAGAAGACAAGATTTGTGTTTAAACCTGTTTTTTCGAAGTTGGAATCACCATTTCCATAGACAATAGGTCGGCAGACAAGTGGAGCTGCACGCTAATGCAGAATAAATTTACTTTATAAAGTCTTCGATATTCAAATATATTCTCTCTTGTATCAAAAAATAAACCGGCAAAAGAAAACTAAAGGCATCAGATTATATATCCAACGATTTATTATTGGTTCTAAATGCGACTGGAGGCAGGTCAATAGGTGAACTGATTTCGTCAGAATAAGAAAAGTTTGGAACTTAATTTACGATATAAAAATATAATTATCACACTAGCCTCGTGCATTTTGAATTGATTTCTACAAGCAATGTCAAGCATGATAAGAACTAATTATTTTTGTAAGTTGTCTACAACCTAGAGTCATAGGAAGCGGGCTTAATAAAATTCATTTTTTATTTTTTTTTTTTTGGGAACCTTCATAATGCGAAGTGTTTTATTTTGTAAATTTCAAATGTGTTAATCACTTGTAAAAATTCGTACCCATTAGAATGATATATTAGTAAAATCTATTAAATACATTTTTATAAGAAATATATCAACCACTATTTCGTATTTGGGTGGTTCCTGTCTGTTATATTAACATTTATGACATACATGGTAATTTGCCGGTATGGTTTTGTTTTTCAATCCAACTCTAGAAATTTCTGAAATTTGTTTTTTACAAAAGTTTGTTTGTGGCTTCGGTTGTAAATTACTTCAGTGGCAATAACTAAACATAGAGTTTTCAAGTCAACAACAAATTTTTACACTTACAGTAAATGCTAAGTAAGGTTGGAGGGAATACTTGTAAGTTATAATTCATCTTTATACTTGTGTACTAAAAAGACCACTAGCTAACAAGAGGAGAAGACAACAAATTAATTTAATTTTGATTTTAGGTTTATTCACTACACAATAATTATCAATTTTACATATATATTAAGTAGAAGAGTAAAATCCAAAGATGTTTTTTTTTTACAAAGCTAAACCATTTCTATAAGGTTTTTTTGGTTTTTTTTTGTACTGGATTAGAAGGTCTACGACAAATCGTTGTTGTATTCTAAAAGTTGGCAAAATTTACTTTGAATTAATTACTATAAGAATTCTTTTTAAGAAGAAGTATTAAAAAAAGCAAATATTTGTGCGAACCTCTGACATTACAGCCATACTGCAGTTTAGTAATATTTCCTATATTTTCTCTGCCGCGGTATATTTGTAAGATCTCATTATCGGCTATGCTTTGATTGGCTTCGATATTGAATTGGTAACCGTTACAACAAAATCCGTGCCTTAAATCGTATACTATGTCAGGCGGTGCTTTTATAACTGGCTCCGCTGGCATGCGATTGAGTAGTGATTAGCAGTGAGTCGAGTGTTATTGATTTTTTTATTTATTTGTTTATTTATTTTTTTTTTTTTTGGAGAGATGAATATGTGTGTGAATGTGAAATGTGTGAAAAATTTTCAGTGTGTGCGAAATTTGAAAAAAAAAGGAAATGAAAAGTTTAATAATTAAGTAAAATGTTAACGAATAAGAATAAAAATGATCATTTACAAACTAAAAACTTCTCTTAGGGTCTCTATCAGAACTTTCAAATGTATAATATATCCACCGAAATATTCCTTATTTCACAGATCACCTTCTCTACCTTTCAATATCAATCTAAACTTGCCAATCTACTCAAATTAACTCATTTCTCTATTATTTCTGTGATTGATTACGTCGAATATTCATTATTGATCTAACTTACCTGGATATTGGCAACGATCACCGGTGTAATGAAGTTTGCATTGACATTTCACATAACCTCTGTCATCTAAATTGCACGACGTGGAACCTTCTTCTTGACAAGGGCATGGAACACAATCTCGGTTATTGTTGCGATAGAACATGGCAGCGCAACTCTCACAAGAGCTACCCACATAACCGCTTGGACAAGAGCAGACCTCCACATCGATGGCATGTTCTGAACCCGGCATCGGTCTCTCGACGGATCGTTCTAGTATAACGTCGCGTATTGCTGTACGTGTTGTGGGAATTTTGGGTGTAGCTCTAATTAACAGATGTTCTAAGTTAGACAGTACATTCATAAAGTCTGTGCGTGAAGCTCTCTGCATAACGCCTCTTTGTATGGTATGCCAATTTTCCTCTTCATGTAAGCGTATACTGTAATCTGAGCTTTCTTGTTCATTCACCGGACGTGACCATAGCAATTTCATCCCGTTGCCTATAAGAATTATATCATTGCCGGGCACATATTCTCCGTAAGAGTCAACACTAAGTACGTAGGAAAGAGCTCCGCCATAAGAGTATAATTGGTTTCCTAATACTGAACCACGCAAACTCCAATACTTAGGTGTAAAAGAAGTATAGCCATATATGTATTCATTGGCTCCAAAGTCGTGGCTTAAATTTTCGGTATCCGCTATCAAGCCTTCTTCATCAGTAAGAAGGGGTGGATTTTCGAAAAAGTCAACCGGTATGAGTTGACGATATAAGGAAGCTGAAGTGCAAGTAGTGCTTTTGTGTGAACAGTAGCATTCCTTGCAACCGTCTGGATTACGTTCGGAGAGCCCAAACGTGCCAGGTCTACATTGATCGCAACGATTGCCTTGCACGTTTGGTTTGCAGTAGCAATATCCATTGTCGCAAGACGTTGTGCCAGCTTGATTGCAATAAGAGCATGAAGTCTGGTTATCAGGAGGAGGTGGCGGCAAATAGTCACCTCCGGGCGTGCAGTCGTATGGAGTGCCAGTGGTCGCTACGCCGCTGTAGCCATACGCACAACGGTCACAATTGTCACCTTCTGTGTTGTGGGCACAATTTTTACAGACGCCAGTCTCGGCATCGCATTCCTGGGAGTGACCATTACATTCACAAATTTCACAGAGACCCAAATATAAACCAGCTTCCGGATTACGTTTGTAACCGGGAGCACAACGCTCGCAAGACAAACCAATGTAACCTTCAGGACAGCGACATTCTTCTACCTCTACAGCTTTAGTATTACCAGTGTTTGTGGGCGTAGCAATATCGAATGAAACATGTGTTAAAGTGCCTTCTTTAGTGCTGGTAGTGTACGTGGCTTTGATATAAATAGCGTCAATTTTGGATAAGGCCATTAACAAGTGTTGACGATTAACCACCTGACCATCAGAACGTTGCCATGCGCTTTCTACAATGGGAACCGAATAAGAGCTGGAAGAACTAGGAGTAACCCCCGTCTTGCGGTAGTGAATCATAGTCAAATCCTCGCCCTATCGTTAAAAAGGAAGTTAAAGAGATGTTCCCTATATAGTAATGTCCCATACTTACGCTCTTTATAACTACGTCGGGTGAAGTGCTTCGCGACATCAGACCACCAGGCATAGGACTGTAACTTAAAGTGTAATTCAATTTGCCGCCGTAGGTACTAATTTTGTTGCCCAAGAATTGCGCAGGTAGACTCCAGTATAAAGGTTCTGCTGTCGGGGCATTGCTGAAAGATAATGATGATCCTGTCGAAACAAAGTCCACATTGGAGGGATAATCAGCATCGTAATCCCGTATTAAAGTAAAGCCGTGAGGTGCTCTTGATTGACCAAAGTTGGAGACAATTTGATCGCGATACCATGAGCTACTGGTACATGTGTTGGTTAGACCGCTACAGAAACACTCAATACATCCTGTGTACGTAAATGCATTCAGATGGAAAGAATCAGGAGCGCAGGTATCACAACGTGGTCCCACCACCAATTGCTTGCACTCGCAAGTACCATTGGGATGAGGATAGTAGGTACCCTCGGCGTTGCAAGTACTTTCGGGTACGGGATAGCAATGGCCGCCAGGCAGTATAGGGTTTCCTTGATAACCCGGGGCACAACTTTCACAGCGACGTCCGGTATAGCCTTCATGGCAGTTACAGGTAACTTCACTATCTGGACCCAGCGAACAGCCGTTCGCAAAATTATTACTACCCGTTTGTGGACAAGGACACTCTCGGCAAGGTATGCCACGTAGCGGATCACCATATGTACCAGGCGAACACGGAACAGGAGTGAATGGCACGCAACGTCCTAGCCATGCGCCGCCTTTTTGACGCACGTAGCCTGGAGCACAGGATTCGCAAGAGTCTCCTGCATAACCGTTAGGGCATTGACACTGTTCTACCAATGAAGCTTGACCCAAGCCATGATCATGTGCACCAGCAGAGTTCATAAGAATATTCGTAAGTTCAACTTCACGTTCCGTAGCTTCAATATAACTTAACCGTATTAAAAGATTGTCCACATTGGCCAAAATCATCATGATTTCTTCGCGCGTAGCCAAACGGCCGTCCGGTTTTTTCCATGTTCCAGGACTGAACTGAACTTCCATTTTGTTAGGCACATTCACTTGAGGTTGCAAGCGAGCGCGGTAGGTCAAAGTGAAACCATTGCCCGTAACAATAACGTCAGGATGATGCGTCGGTCGTCCACTGCCTACGACATTAATATCGTATTTAAGATAGCCGCCATAGGATTTCAACTGATTGCCCATATATTCGCTTGGCAAAGCTAGATAAGGCGCACTACGTCCACCGCCATAATGAACATCGGATGCACGGAATTGTACACCATGAAGGAGAGTCATCATACCGGAAGCGGGAGCTTCATTTATCACAATATTACTATACGGACTCAATTCGACATCAACTACACGATGTGAACTAACCGGAGCTTGAATTACAGAAGTGAAAAGATCAGCGCTTTTGCAAGTCTTAGAAACACCGAAACAGAAGCAATTGATGCATTCATCAGGTGATCGAGCTAACATATTAAAGAAGCCTGCAGGACAAACACCAGGTCTGTCTGGGGTTATCACAGTAACTAAGGTATCAGTAGTGAACTTGCTGCCTTTGGTGTTGATAATCTCACAGGAATAGGCGCCACTCTCACTAGATTGCATGTCAGGGCAGTATAAGTTGCCAGTGCCAGCGTAACTCTTAGATATGCATTTTTCGGGTACATGACCCCAGTTGAGTCGCCAAACTATCACTGGTACGGGAATACCAACGCCCACACAAGTTATGTTAAGGAAGTCACCCTGCTTAAGGACCTGTGTCGGAGGTGGATCACGTATTTTATCAGGAGCCACTAAGTAAAAAATATGGTTTAAAAAAGTAAAAATAGAACAAATTGTTTGCTTACTGCAACCAATCTCATCAGATCCATCGCGGCAGTCATTCGTATCATCACATTGGAAGGATTTCGGTATGCAATGACCGCTGCGGCATTGGAATTCGTCGTAACGGCATGGTGCTCCACTGGGTTCCGGATCGCAACTTTCTTCATCGGAGTTATCGCCACAATCGTTTTCTCCATCGCAACGCCACACACGATCGACACATTTGGAGTTACGGCACATAAATTGATTGGGATGACATTTCCGACCGTGGGAACAGCTGTGCTCATCGGAACCATCCGAGCAATGAGGGATACCGTCACATATCTGCGATCTATCTATACATTCGCCGTTCATGCAAGTAGCCTGGGTTGAAGAACAAGCTGCTGGAATACGTTCATCGCGAGGATTATCTAAAAGTAAAAAGGAAAATATCAATAATGACAATTTCATTAAATCTAAAATGAAAACCCTTTTTTACCATTTGGTCAAAAATTCCATAAATGAAGCGTTTAAGTCAAAGAAAAGAAACGAAAATTTTTGAAATATCTTTTTAACGCTATGAGAGTGAAGCCTACCTAAGCCGAAAAATTCCAAACCTATGTGAGGCACTGTGCCGTATAAAATTTTATTTGAAGGTATATGGTATCTATCATTACCCCAAGCTGCTTGAAAGCACGTTAAGGGAGCAAGACTTAATCAATTTCGAAAGAAGCTTGGAATTTATTTTTTCCTACTTACATTTTTCGACGGTTAGTTGCACAGAAACTTGCTGTCCAGGGACGTGACGGGGATAGCCTACAGCTTCACAAATATAAGTACCGGAATCTTCAACTCGTATATTAGGTATTTCCAAACGTCCGTTTATATCACGAGAACCCGCCGGTAAAGGTCGATCGCCGGGACGAGTCCAACGAACACGAGCCCGTAGCATACCTTCATCACGACAACGGAACACAGCTTCACGACCTATTTTATAGGGAAAAAAAGAAGAAAAGAAAATTATAGCGAAAAGCGCCAAAACTGTTTTTTAGATTTATTCATTCTTCAAGCACAACTAGCATAGTTTTTAATAAAAATTTCTTAATGTGTATTTACATTTTATATAGGGCGCGAAAGGTAAGCGTGTTTAGCATTGCTTTCAATTTAATCAGTCCTATAGTCATTGCAAGCGTATTTACATAGACTATATGTTAAATCAATTTATATTATTTAAACGTGGAATGGCAATCTAGCAGTGTATTGTGCGGCAACTGTAGGAACTCTACGTAGCCTAGAGTGATTGAGCTGCTAAAGAAATCACTAAAAAAGTCATTTTGTGTTTGGCCTTTCTGTCCAGTTTTCTTTTCCTCTTGAGGGAAATCCTTTTTTCTTTTACTAAGCAACACGCAATTATTTTCCAACATTTTCTTCTGATTGCTCAGGCTAAAAAAAACAACTTCAAGTAAAGAAGATTGTCTAAGCAGTCGTACTAAAAGGCAACATATTATACCTTTGTGAACCCATGAATAGAGAATTCAAGAATTTTGAAAAAAGTTTTAAAATATATTCATTTCTAATAACTGATTGTAATATTTAAGTTTTCCCTTAAGTGGGAACTTTCGAACGCTGAAAACGTATTGAACGATTTGTGTATTAATTGTAAGAAATAGTTAATTAATTGTATTCAATTAAGAGAAGCTGAATGGGTTTAAAAATGTATAAAGCCTGAAGAAGTATGGCGATACGTTGACGATGGACTAGAGAATTATACCAATTCAGTTCTTGAACGGTCACGGTCGATTTTCGTTGCGTTTTAGCGAGGCAAATTACGGTTCGGTAACTGAAGCAGGAAAATTATGTTGATTTGTAATCCTTAAGTTTTCGTTCCCATCCACCTATTGAAGCATCCATCGCTTTTATACATTTTTGCAGAGTTACTAGATTATATAAATAATTTGGTGATATTTACAGCATTATATACTTTTATCTTGTGAAATGCATAATATTCTCCGAGTGCTTAGTGTTGAAAAGGTGCTTAATTTTTATACTATAGCAAAATGCTTTTTATTATATCTTGGAAAACTTACCCTCCCTGATATATCCTGTTTTAATATATATTTTTTAAAAATTGTTTTTGTTTAAGCATTTTTAAAACGTTTAGAGGGAATGTTTTTATGAGAAAAGAACGGGAATGTTTTAAAGAAAAATAATTAAAAATTAATATTATTTTATTTTTTTTTTTATTAATAATGTTTAACGCAAAAAATTTTATATAATTTCCAAATTTATTTTTTCTATTTAAAAGTAAATTTTGAAATAGTTTTAGAATTTATTTGAACTGGGAAACTTACTTTCTTTGATCACTTGGTTGTTCGGATAGGTGCGCAAAGTTAACTGGTGCGGACTGGCAGTGGTTGGCCGTGCTAAAAATATATATATTTATTATAGTTTTTAAAAATATCATTATATATATATATATATTATTATTATTTTTTTCTTTGCTAATTCTGTAAATTATTATTATTAGTAGTGAAAATGTTTTCTTAATGACAGTGAAAATTATTATGCACATATCTCCTAAGGTAGAGGGAATTGTGTGGTTTTTCTTTTCTTCCTTGAAAAGAATCGGGGGTTTGTCATCTTCGTTCAAACAAAACAACTTACTATCGATTTCATTATTCAAAAGAGGAGCACAATCCAATTCATCACTTATATCGTGGGGACAGTCAATAACACCATTACAGCGCTTATAAGCCGGTATACAGAAGCCACTATCACACTGATACATATTAAAACCACCGCACTGTAAAGATCCCTTTAAAGGACCTTCATAGTCAATATAAGATTCTTTGGAAATTTCTTATGCAGAACAAATGATTTTTGTTTAGCAATATAGTGAAATGATGAGCATGATGATGAAGAATTTATAGATATTTTATGTAAAATGTAAGAAATAAAAGTGACAGTAAAAGATAAAAAGATAATGCCAAATTAAAAAAGAAAAAAGATACCAGGTTTTTAGCAGGAGCGCACCATTTACGTTGTCTTCTCTCAACTTGCAAAGTCTGCCATCCACATATGGAATAGTATATGTTTTAAGGAAGTTTTTAAAAGTTTTCTTTTTATATTGTATACCACTTGTGGTACAAGTGTGTTTTAAGTTTGTGAGCATGTGTACATGACCAATAAGGACGTCGAATAGATGCTTTTATTATATCGATCTAAATTTATCTGCCCCTCTTTTATTCTTGTGTTTAACCTCCTTCGAATTTTTTCAGATATTTTGATAAAATTTGGTAGACCGGGCTTAGGGACGAACACTTTTAAAAATGATTCGGATCGGACCAGTTTTTCGATTAAGTCTCATATAACGTCTTATTTTGAAAAGTCTTTATAAGATTAACTGTATTAAGCAAAGTGCTGTAGGGAATTTAATGGATAGCTGAGTGCCATTGTAATGCTTTTACTTGCAGCAGCCTTACATGCGTTAGCACTATAAACTTATAATCGCTTCCAAAAGCGAAGATTTCGATGATGTGTGGAGAAGTTCGAATCTTCTTAGACATTTAGCAACGTTACCGTTTTAATACGAGGCTGCTATGCCAAGTTTTACGCTAAGTTCTAGATGGTGCCATCATCTGCGTAAATACTTGCATTTGCGTTTGTATAACAAAAGAAAAGAACAACTTTACGTTGGAGTCAACAAGACGAAAAATTATGGCTAAAAAAAGAATACGTCATACGCCAATGAAAAAAATGAAAAAATAATTATGAGAGGCGCTCCTGCGAAAGAACCTTACAGTTAAAATTTTTCTGATTAAGGAACTTACTGCAGAATTTTTCATCTGAACTATCGGCACAATCCGTATAACCATTACAGCGGGCCAAAATATTAATGCATTGACCGTTATCGCAACGAAATTGTGAAGATAAACAGGTACGTGCCGGATCCAAACAATCATCCTCATCCGAATTGTCAGGGCATTCACGATAGCCATTGCATTGGGCATAAGCTGGTACACATTCACCGCTGCGGCAACGGAATTGATCAGCAGCACAACCTAATAGAAAATATTTTCAATGCATTTAGAATAAAGTTTTTCATAAATCAAAACCTAAATAAAATTCTATTACAAAAAACATTTATAAAAGCCAACAAAAATAAGAAAGGATTGATTGTAAAGGAATTTATCTAAAGTATATACACTTGTTTTAACGGTAAACATGCTGACGAAAAACGTCTAAGTTCTACACGTGCCAAACGGAAAGGTTAAAGCAAAAAATTTTTTATAACATTTTTTGTTTTTTCTTTTTTTTTTTTTTCAAATATTAACCGATGCAATTTTGCTCATCCGAGAAATCTTTACAATCATAGTAGCCATCACAGTGTTGAGTCTCATTGATACAATATTGATGATCGTAACAGAAAAATTCATTATCCTTACATGTGGTGCCTTGTTTGTTTGTTGTAGTTGTGTTTTGTATATAAATTTTATATTTTATCAAAAAAAAAAATTAAAAATTATTTTTTTAAATATTTTTATAGAAAGCTTTTATAGAAGAGAATAGTGATTAGTAAATTGAGTTTGAGAAGAATACATAAAAAAGCTGGTGAATTGCAAAATCAAAATTTCTGTGCTTTTAGAAATCTTATAAAAAAATATCTCTCTCAGGAGCGAAATCAATTTTAAGTTAATCCGCTTTGTGCTGATAGCTTTTGTCAGTTCACGACACAGTAATCAGGAAACCGGTTTTAAGGAGTACAGATAGTTGAAGAAATCTAATCATTGGAAAATTTAGACCAAAGACCAAAGTTTGGTCATCTTCTTCCTAGATTAGATCCAAAATTGCAAGCTATAATTCAATTCTTAAACGATGTCAGCGCAAGCTCTCGAAACTCCCATAAAATCGACGCGTTTCGATATTGTCTCAATCTCTGTCCTGCGGTTGGATTAAGTCTATGTAAAGTGTTAGCAGGCATGTTTTGGCGATTCAAATGCTGCTAAGGCCAAAAAACAATCAGAATGGCTTTCCTTAAGTGATTTAATCGTCTCGTGTCGCTCAAATCATCCGATTAACAGCCTACCAAGAATACCGATCGACTATACTAGACCAGAGAGCAACTTGTTTATTTTTTTAAGAGGTTTTTTGAATCTCAAATTGAATGTTAAGTTTCATTGATCAAGTAAAGGACGGCATGAAATATGAGAATACGTTCATCAATGTTGCACGATCTCTCACATATATGCTTATTTTCATGAACTTCATATAGGAAATAAGTTCCTAAGGCCTATTTCAAAATCTTTTCATTTATTTTTATGCCCATGGCGTTATACAATAAAAGATTTTAATGAAAGAAGGACATGATGATGATGAAGCACATCGAAGTTATTGCGAATAAGGTACCGTAAATTAAAAATTGAGAGAAATATCTTCTAGGTCTATCTTATTAATGGGTGTACAAATTATCTGCATGGACCGACTGAGACGCTCTAATTTGATAAAACGCTTGTATTGTTAATGTAGTTAGTGGCTTGAGCAGTAAGGGAAACAAAAATGATTAATCGCCTGAAACTTAAAAGTGATTTCACTCCTCGTTGAAGAAAATTTCTTTTTTGCATTATATAGAAGTGCTCCCTATTTGCGTATAGAATTAAAATGAGTTTTGATTAAAAATGCATATGAACTTACAGTTTGCTTCATCTGAACCGTCATCGCATTGCGGTGTGCCATCACAACGTTCATTTTCGCTGTAGCATTTGCCATTCGAACATGTATGTTGGGGACAAGGGAAGATAGGTGGTGGACGGGTAGGGAATGGATAACCAAGTGGGCAATTTTGCTCATCCTTACGATCAAGGCAATCGTAATGACCGTTACAACGTAGCGATGTCGAATGACAGTCATCATCACAGAAAAACTGATCGTCACGACAATCTTCCGGTGTTAGAACGGTGGTAACTTTAATGTTGCAATGACGTTTGATATATATATGTAGTAAAAAGGATGATGAGAATAAGCGAGCGAGCAAGCACATTCATATGTATGAAGATCGCAGCAGCAGGCAATTATTATTATTTATTCATTTATATTATTATTATTTTTTTATTTGAAAAATAGAAGGAAGAAAGGAAAGAAAAGAGTATTTTCATGTTAAAAATTTTATGAAATGATAAAATGATATACATTTTTTTAATTGTTAGAGAGGTTTTTTTAAAGCAAAATATTTACATTTTATACATGTTTTTTTTTTTTTTTTTTTTTTTTTTTTTTTTTAAAATTTTCAGATATATATATATATGTATATATATAAACTTAAATTTAGTTTAGTCTTAACTATAGATCGTTTTATGACTTTACCGGTTTTTTCACATTGTTTAATGGATTCATCTGAACCGTCTTTACAATCAGTACGACCGTCACATAAATAATCTTTGTTAATACACAACAAATTATCACATTGCCATTGATCAGAACGGCACGAATTATTTGATAAATTTAGATCGCTTTCAGAGGGTTCTAAGTGATAATATAGAAGAAGAAGAGAGAAAAAAAAAAGGTAGGGCATGGTGTTATGAGTTTTTTTTGTGAGGGATGAACTTATGGAGATAACTACAAAATGATGATATCTTATGGAATAGTAAGACTTAATAAATGAATTGAGGGGATTTTTTCAAGGGCGAGGGATTTTGTTTTTCTAACACCCACCACAATGGTCTTCATTTCAACTGCTGCAGAGGTAAGATCTCTGTTGCATGTTTGTTCATGACAATTGAGATTTTAAAAGTTTGTCTGTCTGGGTATTGATGCACCTCACGTTCATTTCCGGTAGCAGCAGTAGAACAGCGAATCTTTAAGTTATGTGGAAATTATTCCAGTTTCTTTTCTTTACATGTGTGTGATCTAAATTCATTATTTTCGTATAGTTCCCGAGAATTTACGGTGTATTTTGAGGAAAAGCTTTAAGAACCTTATCTATATTAAAGGGCATTATCTTTATGTGTAACATATCTTTGGCGTACTGGCGTTAAATAATATTGAAAAAAACCGGTAATTTGGTGGGAAAATCAGTCTCGTCAATGAAACTCATATCACAATCATATCGACGATTTAATTAGATGAAAATCAAAGATTTATGTAAGCGATAACTGTCGCCCCCTACTTTGCAAGGCAATCCTAGATCCGAGAAGGCTTATATCAAAGTTGGAGTATCAGATATGAAAGTTTGGTAATGATTCAAACCTACTGCTGTGGGCAAGGCGAAGTCAATCTGCCTACTTCGGTCTATTTAACGCTCTTAGGTTTATGGTAAGCAGAATCAACACGATACTCTCTGAAGATCTGTTCGTAAAAGTTAGGATCTCTACCGAAATCAGAGTTCGATATTCTGACCCCGTGGTCCCCATAGTTACGACTACAAAGGTTTGGAGTTGTCGACATTGCTCGAAGACCTGTTTGCTAAACCTTGAACAAGCAGTTGATTCCTCACCGTCTCGATGACTGTTTCATAGTGAGTTTCCGTTCTAGAGAAATGTGATTGGCATTCAAGTGACTGCCGCCAACGACCATCGCACACAAAAAATGAGAGCGTAATACGCAGTTTATGCAGTCAAGGCAAAGTTTTTCAACAAATGAGGACATATCGTAACTTTTAATATAAAGTGTCCACTTGTTAATTTTGGAAAATATTGCAAAATAGAGAATTTAATTAACGAGAATGAGATATGAGTGGACGAAAGCTGGTATTGGAACTTTGCCGATTTTCAAAACTTTTGTTCACAGTTTTCCAAGAAGCCCTAAAAGTCTGAATCATATAAAACGCATAAAAGTTGAAGAATAAAAAAATGTACTAAATAGCGAGTGGTGGGTGATTAAGATCCGCCCTAGGGCGAATAAAATATATTTTCTACTATTTTGAATGATTATATTTGATTTTATCATTAATTTTATTATTTTTTTGATACTAATCACCAGTAAAATATTGATACAGTAAAATTGTTTACCAACCCTGACAACCCTCTTCATCCGCTCCATCGTAACAATCAATTTTTCCATTACAACGGATATTCCAATCAACACAAGTGTTATTGCATTTGAATTTTAATTCAGGACAATCACCTTAATTTTTAAAGAATTTTTATTTCAGGGTTACAGTAAATTAAATTAATTAAACAAAAAAAAAAAAAGAAGGTAAAAAATATTTTTTGGTATTCTTAAAAAGCATATGCAAAAGCAATATCTACAATAGGCCAATTTATTAGCTAAGCTCCAAACCAGATTGTGCATACAAGAGAAGAAAAAAGCAAACACTAAACTAAATAACAACTTACCACAGTTACGCTCATCACTACCATCGGTACAATCTATTTTACCGTTACAATGTAAATTATTTAAAATACATTCTCCCGTGTCACAACTACATACATATACATAACATTTTTTTTACGTTCGTATGTATGTTTATTTTTTGCGATTGTTTTTAGTAAAATTTTTACACATACATAAAAGTTGATGAATGTTTTCGTGTGATATGCCATTACAGATAAAATTTAAGCAACAACAGTAAATGATGATGGAAACACACGCAGTCATTGTTTGAATGTGACATTTCGGTGTAGGTGATAGTCGGTGTGGTGGTGATATGTTTCAGTTATGATAGACGTGGGTATATTTTTAAAAATTGCCACATTTTGTTTTTTTTTTTGTTTGTGGAATTTATTAAGTTATGCAATATGTCGATGGCGGGATGGTGAGACGGTAGTGATACATTGTTGTTGTTGTAGTTGTTGTTGTTTTAATATTTCATGATTGAATATATATATATATATATATATATATATATGTATATATATATATGTATATATATATATGTAAAATGAGAGAGAGAAAAAAAAGATGATACTAAAATTGTTTGGCGCAATTATTATAAAAAAAAAAAAACAAAAAAAAAAGAATTAAGAAATTTGCTTTGCCTTTATAAAAAAATGCAAATATTTTTTTCGTCAGAGATTGGCCTTTTTAAAAATAAAAGTAACACCTGTCCTATGAACAGTATGATAAAAGGAGTCTAGAACTATCAGACAATGAGGAGGAGAGTAAATCTGAGCTGAAAAAAGACATTTTCAACGGCGTTCTGAAGATCAAAAGTTTAAGTTGAACGTTCCTTTTCATAGAGTGCAGTGTTGGGCATGTCTAATTTGGATCAAAATTTTTTTTTACGGTTTACGGGGTTTCTACGGGATGATGTGATTCAAGTCGTAGTCATGACAAATTCATTCATATATTCCCTGGACCGTGGTAAGAAAGCATGCACATCTTCGAAAACTTAGTTCTCAGTCACGTTTGAATTGAAACTTTTCGTTATAGGTTAAAACTTGAAGTTAAACAATTTGATACATAGAAGCATAAGCAAGTGTCGAGATAGCGCAATAAACGATCTTCAAAACTTATGGCGAACATATTAAAAAGAAGTAATGAAAATGAGTAACGAAAAGTGCAGCGTCACTTATCGATATATTTTTAAATAAAACTAAAGTTACCCTGCAACTAGGACTAGTGTCTTAACAAAAATTACGCTATGTTTGCAGGAAATCATAATTTCATAGGACGCATAAGGTTCATAGGGAAATTTTGCTTTTTTTTTATAAATTTTTTTCTTTTTACATTTTCATTTCAGCAAGCAAAGCAAGTTTCTTAGTTGTTTCGAGTGTGGAATTAACTGCTTACGCGAAACCTTCGTGACAATAATGACAGTTTTGTTCATCGCTGCCGTCTTTACAGTCCACGTGGGCGTTACATTGCAAATTAATAGGTATACAATAATTTTGATCACATTCGAATTCATCTGGTTGACAGTGTTCTGTGGTTTTAATTAAACAAAAATGTTATATATGATTGAAGGGAGTAAATAAGTTCGTCTTATTTTTTTATTTTTTTTGGTAGTAAATACACAAAGAATGGGCGGGGAAAAAAAATAGGTTAAATTTAACAGAAACCGCAACCGTTATATTGATAGGGGGAGGGAGGGAGGTAGGGTGGTGTCTTTAAAATTTTACCTGTATACGACTGACAATCTGATTCGTCAGTGTCGTCGTCACAATCGGCAAAACCGTCGCATTTTTTATCGTTCGGTATACATTTCGAGTAATCACATTCGAATTCATATAATTCACATTCAGTAAACGTTGTATCAGCATCAGTATCAAAATCTTCTTTATATGGTTTCATTTTTATTTATTTATTTATTATTTATTTATTTATTTTTGGCGGGTAAATGATAAAATGTGATGAATGATTGTAGAATGTTTTTGTAGTGATGTGGTGGTGTTTCAATGTAAAATGAAAAGAAAAAACCAAAAAAAAATTAATATTAAAATAAATAAAATTAATTTTCCTTTTTTTTGCTTTGTTATTAATATTAATACGAAATTTTTGGAAATATATGTATTTTTTTCGTAAAAAATTATTTATTTATTTATTTATTTTTATTTTTTTTTTTTTTGCGTTATTTGGTTACCATAATTTGTGTCATCGTAATTGATGGGACAATTTATCTCATCCGAACCATCTAGACAATCAGTTATACCGTTACATAGCTTATAGTCCGCAATACAGATTCCATCAGCGCATTGAAATTGATAACTTAAGCAATCAGCCATGTTGCGACTTTTATTGAAATTACTATTGAAATCTACTCCCGATTCGTTTATTTTTTGCAGTTTTTTTTTTTTGTTTTTTATTTTTTTATGTATATATATATTTATTAGTGTTTGTATGTAAAAATGAGCGATTTGATGTATTTAAGTTTTATGGTAAAGATGATGATGTGTAAAAAACAAGGCATACAAAGTTATGCAGAGAATGAGAGAGACAGAGCATTAAAGAAGATAATATGATACATGAAAATAAAATTTGCAGAAAGAGAAAGAAATGAGAAAATAAATAGTAAATGTTTTGAGTCAGAGAATTTAAGAGTTGAAAAATAAAATATTATATAAATTATAATAGGAATAAATAAATAAATAAATAGATTTTAAAAAGAAAGTGATGAGAAAAAATAATGAAACATGAGAAAGATGCGATATTCAAAAATTAACTGTGCAAGAACGGTAGGAATGGGGAACGAGAAACACTTCTTTTTTTTTTTTTTTTTTTTTTGGTTTTCCTTACGTGTGTTAATTTATCTCTCAAAAAATCAAAATTTATTTCTTAAAAATTTTGGTTTTTTTTTTTTTTTTGCTTTGAGTATTTTAAAGTGAAATTTCTTTATACCCAATAGGAAATACTTCTTCCACGGCAGAGATGAGATGAGTGAGAGAAATGAATTAATAAGGAGGGCATATATGTTGTGAAAAAGTCGACTTCTATAATAGAATTGTAATGAACAGATGAGAACAGATGTGATGCTAAGTGGAAGTTTCATCGTGCCAGCACAGGCGCAAGTCCTTCTTGACTCTGTGCATTTGTTACTTTGAATGCTTTTAGACCATATATTTGCTCACAAATTAGATCGCGGAAATTGCTCGAAGAGTAATACATTAAAACATTCTTTGAAATTTATGGCGAGCGTGTCGTATATGCAAATGAACGTAACATAGGCATATAATAGAGAATGCAATACGTCTATGTTATCTAGAGTTTACGGTGGAGATTTCGTAACTCCAAAAAGTATCTATTCTACGTGGACTTGATTTAATAGAAAGCAAATCAAAGAGTTGAAGTGCGAAGTGTAAGCACACGGGTGGACTCGTGAAAAATTTTCAGATAGCTGTGTTAGCAGTAAAGCTGCTCTCGACTGTCCACATTTTTCATATTCAATCCGTTAATGAATCAAAAATTAAACTTGGAAGGGTAATCACCCTTCCCATCTATATTTTCCAAACTCACTTTGTTTGCAAACATATTATTCTTAACGATTTTTATGGGGTAATATTTAAAATGGCTACATTTTTGATGCAGTGATCTTTTCAAAATGGACTTGTTAGGTGGATGTGTTATGGTAAAGATGCTATGACACAATTCATTTTTAATAATGTTCATCCTCTTGTCCTCAACTACAATATTTCGAAAATTCTTTAGCATATTGCAGATTGGTAATCACAAAAAAAAAAAAAAAAAAATACACCGTCTTACTACGTATGGACAGACAATGCACCAACTCGATATACCCTCTAGCGCAAATATTGGAGCGTGGTTTCAAAGGCTTTTAAATTATGCTAACGAATTTCTAGGACAAAGTAGTTTTTTATATATGTGATGATCTTTGTAAATATATATGAGAGAAATATTTACATAAACGTTAGAAGAGAAACATCTTTTTAACAAATTTCTCCTAAAAAATAACAAAAATTTTTTTTGTTTTATAAACATATGATCGAAGTTTCGCGTCCGATTAATTTCAGGGATCTGCTTGACCTACCTGTCTAAACCTAAGCTGATAAACGATTATCGCTGTTTAATTTAATGGACATCAAAAATCGTGGAGTAAATTTTGTTAGATACTGTGAAAAAAACCAGGTGCAATCATATATCGTATAATACTTAAAACTGGGTTTGCTTGATAAGCAAAATAAAAATTAAAAGAAAAAAAAACAATGTTTTTCAAAATAATTACAAAAACAGAAAGATACGTAAAAGTAAGTTACAAATATTCTTAGTGTTCATAAAAAATTTGAAAAAAAGTTTCAAAAAAAATTTCTAGTCTATATACGCATGCATACAATAAGGAAATAGATATAAGAATTTGTTAGGAATTTTGTAGAAAATAACTTTAATATTTACAAATATATATGTATGTATGTATGTATGTATATTGAACACAGACAATCGGTATGCATGCATAAACGTGATTAAACATGCTTAAACGTGCAGTACACTAAACTAAAGAGTGAAAGATAATAACTGCATATGTAAATAAATAAATGAATAAATAAAAAGAAGAAGAAGAAGAAGATGAAGAAGAAGAAGAAAAGGAAAGGAAAAGGAAAAAGAAGATGAAGAAGAGAGATTTACTTACGACAACTGATCTCATCACTGCCATCTCTGCACTGAGGCTTGCCATCGCACACCTGCGTTTTCGGTACACAGCCACCGCCTTGTACACATTTAAACTGTTTATATGTACATTATATATACATACACATGATTATGATAGTATTGAAATACATTTACAATATTTCCCAATAAAAGAAATATTCTGAAAAATTCAGAAAATCTCTTCAACTCTTACCTTATCATTGCTACAATTGCATAGACCGTAACTTTCATCATCATAACGCGCACAGTCTCGTACACCATCACAAACACTCTCTAATGGTATACAAGCGCCATTCTCACACATAAATTCCATACTAAGACATGTTTTCTTAGCTAAATGTTGTGAATTGAGTTTCATTTTTTTTTGTTTTTTTTTTTTGTTTTTTAATTTCATGATGATTTTGAAGTATAGATGAAGAGAAAATGATGAATCATGAAGACCAGTCATAATCAGAAATTTTTACCAGAAATTCGATTTGAAAGAGGAAGAGAAGTATGTGTTTTTAGAGAGCCATACAAAAAAACAAAAAAAAA